AGCGACAATTACGCAATCGGGTGGTGGAACATATTCCAAATTGGGTCCAAAATCAGCTGAGGTCAAGTCCGCCGCATAGTAACGACGGTCGAAACTACAAAACTCCGTCCTCAGCCATTGCTCGATATCTGCTGATGACGCAACACCACGTCGACCGAAGCACAGCGTTTCAAATCGTCTACAAGTCGCAAGATTGCTAAGGTTTGCTGAAGCAACTGCGATTAATCGATGGAAGCCCCCCCCCCTGTGCCAGCAAAAAGAACTGTATGTTAGTCTCTCCCTACCCTGGTGATATGGCCCCTTTTACCCCTCCCTCTTTTATGTTTTGTCTGTTTTTAATGTATTTTGCCTCACTCTGTTGCTATGCTAAAACCCTATATAAACATTGTATTTTCTGCAGTATGCACCATGTTGAGATGCAGCGAAATCGTCCTGGACATAAATCATGCAGTATTGCAATATGGTCTTTTCTTTTCAAATATAAAGTTATTCGTTCAGAAATCGGATCTGAGGAAACGGAATTCAGCATAGCTCAATGTACGATTCAGTCTAGCCCATAGAAACATGCATTTTGCCAGACGCCCGAACAAAGAAAATGTTTCCTTTGGGGGGGGGGTTGATTATTATTGGAAGTTATTCAAAACCAAGGCAGCAGACTAAAGTGTATGTAGTATTGGAGTCCAAGCTGGTTTGTGCCTCTTTCGTTCATTCAGACCCCAGAAATGAGCTTTCAACTCACAGGTTAGCGTGCAATCACTTGTGTTCTCGAGGTTCGTTTGCATCGGCTTTTGTCAGGTCGTTGTTACGGGATCTATGGGGTTTTTAATGTAAGCCAGGTATCTGGGCGCTGAACAGGCCACTTCCCAGCAGTGTTTGCTAGTAATGGCTTGTTGGTCATGTCAAGTGACAACTTATTCATAATGATCTCTTCTAGTCAATACCCAACCCCTCGTCCGCTCTATCCGCAACCCAACGAAGTTCCTGATTGTTTACAGCTCTGTTTACACTTCACTAAACAGGGATTCAGCTACACTCGGAGTCTTCAAATTCACTCTGCTCCATTTTAATTGCATAACATTGGTTAATGAGCGGTGGACGAGGTCAACCTCAGGGTCACAATGATCAATCGTGCTGTTATGGCAACCAGTACCCAAACCTGCATGCACACGTTTGATATTCAGTCGGACCCTACTGAAGCGATCTGCCTCCTCTAACGGTGTTTTGCCGTGTTTCCACGACTACCTGTATCGCATCTTATATGAAAATATGTTTTCCCTTTTGCCTCGATTTGGGCGTGGGCGTAAGCATCGGTCTATCTTACGCTAACCCTTTACCACAATGACCTCGGAGATAATCACACGGGCATTAATCAACAGGTGCGATTGGAGCAATCAAATAAGTCTCGTCTCCCCGAGCTGAGACACAGAACAATCTGCCATTGAATCTGTTCAGCAGTTTGGCAACATCAATGAATCCTCGTATAGATAGCGTCACATGGAGTGATGATGCTGATTATGTTAAATGATTCCTCACAGACTGTATAAAACAACTGTATCTAATGTGTATAATACTCTAACGTGATACACGATAGCTGTACAATAAAAGCACAAATTTTAACCTATGTCGCTTTTATCCTTCCACTTTTTCTCTCTCTCTCTCTGTCCCGTGCATTTTTTTCCCCCGGATACAGTTGTTCAAACTGTTAGACAAAGCCAATCGGGAACTGAAACGGTACAGTCACGTGAACAAAAAAGCCCTGGATCAGTTTGTTTCACATTCGGAAGAGAAAGAAAAATTGTTAAAACGCAAAGAAGAGTTGGATCGGGGTTGTCAAGCCATTAAGGATTTGATGAATGCATTAGATCATCAAAAGTACGAGGCAATCCAGCTCACATTCAAACAGGTACACGTAACTACCTCTGGTTAACTTGCTTCTCACGGTAGCCAATATCTCCATGCTGATTCTGTTAGATTCCTGTTTGTTGATACACATAATTTTCCATAAATGTTCACATTGTTCTCGAGATACTGGCTTCGCTGTGCTCAGTACCAGGTGAATGTTGTCAGGTTCTTACCTGTGGCCCGAACCATCGTGGGTACTTAAGCATATCTTTTTTGTCCGAATATGCCATCATTACACATTGTTTCTTCTCAACATTGGTGATTTTGTTTGACAACGGGTGACGCCTGAAAACGTCGTCCAGGAATTGTTCTGGATATCCGTTGTGAACAAAAAATTCTCGAATAAACCCCAGTTCTCTCTCCGTTGTGTCGTCTAGATATATTCTTGTCGATCAGACGAAACAGTCCAGCGCACCATCCACAGGTAGCCATCGTGAAATGATCAGTGTATCCATTTCTAAAGCTCTGTACCATTTGAACGGAAAAGAAACTTAATTGAACGCTTTGCTACTTCGAACTGGGGTGGCGGTGGCGTATAATATATGTACAGACGACACAATTGAGAGTGAATTGAGATTCATTCGAGAGATTTTTTCCTTCACTTAGGATATACGAAACGATTCGTGGACAATGCTTCGAGGCGTCACCAGTCACCAAACAACATCATCACTGTTGGGAAGAAACCGGTTTACATATCATTAGCTTTCAAGGGCTACAAAAACGCCGAAATGGTGACACGTAAACTGAGTTCAGCCGTGGAACAAGCATTTCTAGGAGCGATATTTGGTATTGTGTTCATCTCCAGGTTGCTTGTACGCTTTTAAGTTAGCGAAGTTGCCTTTTTCTGCAGTCTTTGATTTCACTTATATATATATATATATATATATATATATATATATATATATATATATATATATATAT